GTTATAAAATATTATTATAATTTAAAATAGCTGTTTTCTATGTGAATGCATTGTAAAGTGTAATTGATTGCTGTGATCAAAGCTGAAATTTCAACATCATTACCCCAGTCTTCAGTGTCACATGATCCTTCAGAAATCATTCTAATATGCTGATTTGCTACTCAAAGTGTTAAGTTTTTGTTGATTTTTTCTTTGAAAAGCAAGACAAAAAAGCATATTTTGGCTATTTAATTTATGCAATGGTGAAAAAAAAATTTTTAAATACATGGGGGAAAAAAATGCGGAAAAACCGTGTTCGGTATCTGGCCTTCGGCCCAGTGTTTCAAGCAATTTGTTTGGCTTCGGCTTCGGCCAAGAATTTTCATTTCGGTGCATCCCTACTTGATATGATGAACACATTTAATGTATGCTTTTATTCCCATATAAACATTGATCAGTGCACATATATAGAGCTCATCAAATGCTTGACACTTGATTCATATGTATTATGTTCACAATGTTGTATTAACTTTTTGAACTGTCTAGATTTGGTTGCATTGACTTTCCATGGAGAGAGAGAGAGCTCAGGTTTCATTAAAATGTCTTCATTTGTTTTTAGAAAATGAACAACCATCTTAGGCCAGGCATCCACTGTGTGTCGTTTTCTTTCAATTTTGAGCCGAATTCTGACTTGTGTGACTCTTTTTTGAGTCAGCCGAATTTCAGATTTGTCGTGCGTCTTTTTTTGACGTGCAGTGTACACGGGGTAACAAGAAGTGAGTAGCCTCTTCTGACCAGCAATCGGATGGTCAGATGAATTTCTGACATGCCAGAAATTTTGGTTTGATTAGACACAGACACATATCCCAAAGCCTTCCTTTAAAAAGCTGATCAGCTAATTTATTTTTCTAGTCTAATGCATTATATGATTATATGGGTACGCAGTTTTATTTTGGGGGTTTACCATGTTTTACATCACAGAGAATTATGTTTCCCAAGTGTGCATTTGCATTGCTAGTGTGCATGACTTTGGTCAGATTCTCACCTGGAAATTTCCAGCATAATCCTCCTCTTGGTCACCATTGTGCCCTTCCTTCAGAGCGATAAGAGTAAAGCCTCTGAAGTATGCAGGGTTGGTTGCATACAGGGATACTGGAAATAATCACAATAAAAATAATCAGTTGCATTATCTTTCTGATTGCTTTCACGGGTCAATCAAAATGAATAAAACACATACAATGATACCAGGCTTCTGTTATAGAATTGGTAATATTTCATAAGTTTTGTTTTGCCCATATACTCTTTAGCTACTGGGGATAAACTCATTTGGCTTGATGTCCGCAGTGGAGGGGCTGAAAGAGACAGCTACAAATGCTTGGAAGATAAGTATGGATAGCAAGATGCCTATATTTTGTTCGTGGAGTTGGGGAGGTGAAGGAAACAGATGAAACAGCTGATGCCGGAGCAAGGTGAGCGCTGCTTATATGCTCCAGCAGTTCACTGAAAAATTATATGGGTTCACCTCTCCCAAAAATGCATTTAGGAACGTCACTTCTTTTCTAGTCCAGAAATTCTTATTTTGTTATGTTCAAATACCTCCAGTAAAATCGTCATGTAACCTATTTTAAATATCTTCACTAACAAATAGTATTCAACATATAATGCACAAAGAAACTGATTATTGGTTAATACACAGTACAAATTAGAAAGTTAGAAATATTGTAAACCTTTCATTTGCATATTGAAAACAATTTGCAGTAGGCTATCATATAGGAGAAAACGGAAATAGATGTAAAATAGTTTTTGTTTGTTTGTTTATTAATTAATTCAGTCAGTCATGTCAGATATTACAACATTATCTAACATAAATCAAGCCTTTTATGGCATATAAGTATTAAAAATGTATTTAAATTATATAAGTTATTTGGGAGCTTTAAGCAGCAAAAAATGGAAAAGGCAAACTGCCAAATCTACAGTTTTTGAAAACAGACACTGCAGTTGATAAATTCAAATAAAATTAAATATGTGACAACTCACCCTGATATAAATGTGACAACTTGCTCTGACTTGACCATGATAAAATACATCCTTGTCCTGATAACACAGTTCAGATATTAAAATCTACTGTTTTGGTTTACCCTTTGGTTCATAAAACTAAAAAAGATTTTAAAAAAAACATTTATGACCACTGCCAGGGAACAAATATTTGTGGACTTTTAAATTAAAACGTTATAGTTATTGAGACAACTTCCCCGCACCACAATAAAACCCAGTTTCCACTATCACTTAGGCAATGTGATTATTTTGTTCGTGGAGTTGGGGAGGTGAAGGAAACAGATGAAACAGCTGATGCCGGAGCAAGGTGAGCGCTGCTTATATGCTCCAGCAGTTCACTGAAAAATTATATGGGTTCACCTCTCCCAAAAATGCATTTAGGAACGTCACTTCTTTTCTAGTCCAGAAATTCTTATTTTGTTATGTTCAAATACCTCCAGTAAAATCGTCATGTAACCTATTTTAAATATCTTCACTAACAAATAGTATTCAACATATAATGCACAAAGAAACTGATTATTGGTTAATACACAGTACAAATTAGAAAGTTAGAAATATTGTAAACCTTTCATTTGCATATTGAAAACAATTTGCAGCAGGCTATCATATAGGAGAAAACGGAAATAGATGTAAAATAGTTTTTGTTTGTTTGTTTATTAATTAATTCAGTCAGTCATGTCAGATATGACAACATTATCTAACATAAATCAAGCCTTTTATGGCATATCAGTATTAAAAATGTATTTAAATTATATAAGTTATTTGGAAGCTTTAAGCAGCAAAAAATGGAAAAGGCAAACTGCCAAATCTACAGTTTTTGAAAACAGACACTGCAGTTGATAAATTCAAATAAAATTAAATATGTGACAACTCACCCTGATATAAATGTGACAACTTGCTCTGACTTGACCATGATAAAATACATCCTTGTCCTGATAACACAGTTCAGATATTAAAATCTACTGTTTTGGTTTACCCTTTGGTTCATAAAACTAAAAAAGATTTTAAAAAAAACATTTATGACCACTGCCAGGGAACAAATATTTGTGGACTTTTAAATTAAAACGTTATAGTTATTGAGACAACTTCCCCGCACCACAATAAAACCCAGTTTCCACTATCACTTAGGCAATGTGATGCCCCAACATGCTGCCTATGTAGGCAGCTTGTTAGTTTTTCAGACAAAGCCCCTATCTCCAGCGCGCGCACTGTGAAGCGTCTCTGTCCGCGCCGGTGGTCCTGACAACAGCTGAAACAGTGACATATACCTCGGTAAATGCTGCCGGGATTATAATGCTCCGGGTCTCCTTCCACTCGCAGTCTGAACTCACTGAAGCCCTCCCTCCTGCCTCCAGCTCCGTGAGGCTGAGCCCGCGTTATCCAGCTGCAATAGCCGTCAGATGGAGCCGCTCTGTCCGCGGGCTCCTCGGGCACACTCGCGCACACGCAGCCGGTTAACAGCAGCAGGACAGCGGCTCTCCACATCTCCGATCGCTTCACTTTCATTTCCAAATACGCACTTACAATCGTGTTTCTATATGTGACAACTCACCCTGATATAAATGTGACAACTTGCTCTGACTTGACCATGATAAAATACATCCTTGTCCTGATAACACAGTTCAGATATTAAAATCTACTGTTTTGGTTTACCCTTTGGTTCATAAAACTAAAAAAGATAAAAAAAACATTTATGACCACTGCCAGGGAACAAATATTTGTGGACTTTTAAATTAGAACGTTATAGTTACTGAGACAACTTCCACGCACCACAATAAAACCCAGTTTCCACTATCACTTAGGCAATGTGATGCCCCAACATGCTGCCTATGTAGGCAGCTTGTTAGTTTTTCAGACAAAGCCCCTATCTCCAGCGCGCGCACTGTGAAGCGTCTCTGTCCGCGCCGGTGGTCCTGACAACAGCTGAAACAGTGACATATACCTCGGTAAATGCTGCCGGGATTATAATGCTCCGGGTCTCCTTCCACTCGCAGTCTGAACTCACTGAAGCCCTCCCTCCTGCCTCCAGCTCCGTGAGGCTGAGCCCGCGTTATCCAGCTGCAATAGCCGTCAGATGGAGCCGCTCTGTCCGCGGGCTCCTCGGGCACACTCGCGCACACGCAGCCGGTTAACAGCAGCAGGACAGCGGCTCTCCACATCTCCGATCGCTTCACTTTCATTTCCAAATACGCACTTACAATCGTGTTTCTAGAGTGTTGAACTCTAGTGGAAACTAAACTTGGCTGTAATAACAGGCTCCCATATACGCAAATGCTGATATCTCCGCCTTCACCCTGTTATTTTGCCATCCTGAACTGAAGAGAGAAAGAGAGCTGATGAATCGCCCGTCTGTACAGAGTGGCACATTCAGAGTGGACTGACTCTAGTGCTGCTGCCTCACACTGATAGCCGAATGGATTCAGCCACACAAACTCAAAAACAAAGACCACATGCTCAGAACAGAGAGAGTCCCGGTTTTCAGATAGTTTGAGAATCGTCAGAACAAATTATAATTAATTAATTATATTTTAAATGTATTATTAATTAATTATTTATACATGTTATAAATATTTAATTTTATTTTATTTCATTGTTTTATTATTATCATTCATTCATTAATTGGAACACTCTGCCTTCTCAAGCGCTCTCAGTGTTTGCCTATAAATATTAGAGCACCCAATTATAGGGCTCTCTTCTCCTTTTTTTTTTTGTAGCTGAACTAAACTTTTAACTTCTGTTTCAAATTTCAACCTTTATTTTGCCTTTTTGTAAATGTTATGCATTTTAAGAAACAAAAAGAAAATAATAAAAAAAATAGGATCCACGACTATGAAGTCAATGTAATATTTGCATTGTACATTTTGATTGGTCTTCTTTCTTTAAAGCATTTTGTATATTGTTTTGTGATTAGTAGCCTATTCTCCTTCTTAAAAATGAAGTGTGTGTGTGTGTGTGTGTGTGTGTGTCATTTCTCCAAACCATACTGCAAAAATAGTTTTAAATAGGGTGTACCCCAAATAGGGTCCATATTGTTTTGTGATTAGTAGCCTATTCTCTTTCTTAAAAATGAAGTGTGTGTGTGTGTGTGTGTGTGTGTGTGTGTCATTTCCTCCAAACCATACTGCAAAAATAGTTTTAAATAGGGTGTACCCCAAATAGGGTCAATAAATGGATAGTTCCACCCCAAGCACATGCTAATTGTTGAAACAACTTTGTTTCCTGGTCAAGATGCTTAAAGGCATTGTTCACTCAAAAATTAAAATGCATTGTTTACTCGTCATTATCATGTATGGTAATGTCTCAGTGTTTTCTTCTGCTTCTTCTTCTTCTTCTCCTTCTTCTTTTTTGTCCATGCAATTCAACAGTCATAAAAACTGTTTCCAACATTTTTCAAAAGATCAGTAATAATACCACAAATAATACCTTTTTCTTAAAACGGTGGCTTACTCAATGGTTTAGCTAATGTTTACTTGTGCAATTTAAACAGAAAGTGGTCAAAGAATATTCTCATTATAATCACTGGAGCTGTCAATCACTTCAGTTCAGCGCAAGTTCCCTGACTGAGTTCTGCTTTCTTGCCAAATCTCCAGTTACAGTGGGGATTGGGGAGCCTGCGGCCCCATGCCTACAGCCGAATCACAATATTGAATGTCTACGAGTGTGAGATTGTATTTATACAACACTTCAACAGCACAAGTATGTAAAACAACCACATGATTTCTTAAAAAACCCTTTTGTGGGGGGAAATACTTCCTTCTGCCACAGACTCAAATATCAAATTGACAGTTTAACAAGCCTCTGCTACTAATTTGAAAATGTCATTTTAAAGCTAGTAAGGAACTCTGAGTTGCTTCACTGAAGTTAAAAGCTTATTGTATTATAGAGTGGAGTATTATGAGAAAGAGATGGACTGAGTGAATGTGATTTTCTGCATTCATAATTTAAAAGTTAGTTTGAATGTCTGTTGAATAAAGTGATTTTCTTCAACTGTTAAAGGGATTTCCCAGGCCTGTAAATGCATTTGTTGGTTGCATACAAGGTGTTTAAAGTAAAATAATGTCCTTGTTTACAATCCTGTTCTGTTCCCTTTCAAAAGACCACTTCTCAATATCAAAAACTATTATTAAATACAACTATTAATATAAAAAACAATTTATTAATAATATTTAATAAACAACAATTATAAAAGTTGCTAAACAATTCAGTTAAAAGTACAAAGGCATCGCTCTGATACAGCATAAATGTAAAAATTAAAAAATTATGAAACTTTGCCCGCATCTAAAACGATATGCTCTGGAACAAATAATAAATTATTGAGACCAACGACTGCCTGTAGATTTACCCAAAACAAGTTATATCTCATGTTTAACCACTATAGAGACATCAGAGTCTGCGGCAAATTCTAAAAGAACTGCCAGAAATAAGGCTGCTTACGGCGGGTTCATGAGCACTGAACAGCTGCTGACGCCCTGAAGCTCACATCTCCAAAAATGTTGAAGCAAATGTTCAAAATAGGCTTTCAAAATCTTTATTAGGGGTGACCACCAATAGTAGAAGATTTGATGCTTCGATAGAGGGAGCCTGATTCAAGTACCAATCTCACAGTCAAATCTTCTCAGAGGTGTTGTGAAACGAGGATCATACCATTTTGGCTATATGGAGGTGCTCAGTGTCTGATTTCACATAGAACTTAATATATAAGTTAATAGTATAGCCTATTATGATAATGTTGTAAATAAAAATGTGAAAAGAAAGCAGCTTTTAATAAATATTTTTTAACATGCATAAATAAATCCAATAACCCCTGTGACAGATTTAAGTTTCACTTTCCATGATCCGTGACAGACAGAGGAGCATCTTGGCGGCTTCTGCCGACCAACATTAAAGGGATAGTTCACCCCAAAATGAAAATTCTGTCATTAATTACTCACCCTCATGTCGTTCCAAACCCGTAAGACCTCTGTTCATCTTCAGAACACATATTAAGATATGTGCGGTATGCAGTATTTTTTTCTACTCAAGCCGGTTTCGAAACGGTAATAATATAGAGGAACGCAGGAACAGAAACGTTAAAATATCGATTCTGCTCGGAGTGAACCGATTGATTTTTTTTTGTTTTGTTTTCAAGCCCTAGCTGTAATGTCAACAATGCCTCGTAAGCAATCCCGGTGCACTGTGTTTGGATGTAAGACTGAACATTAGAGTCTTTATTTTCTCCCAACATCTGAGCCACTGAGGATGCAGTGAATTATTTCTTTTTTTGAAGGTAATGGGCCTCAAAATCTACCTAAATAAGTTTATGTCTGCACAAGTCGTTTCACTCCAGACTGCTTTGTGAATGTCATGTTGTTATAGTTATTTGCGAAGTATTTTAATTGATCAGTGCAGCGCTTGTGAGATTAGGTCGAGATTGGTTGCATGGCTTGGTGCAGTGAGCCACGCCGATGACAGGTCAGCACGACACAAGCTCTGTAATGTCGCGCTGTTTCGTCCCACTTTCACACTTTCAGTGCATTTGGCTTCCCTTATGTACATCTGAACCCCTGTTCTCTATATCAGCCATGTTGCTTTTAACGGTTGTTTATTGCTGTAGGTATGCAAAGCAGAGATGTATATCCTACGCCCTCTTCTGGAGAGGGGGTGGGAATATGCAGCTCATTTGCATTTAAAGTGATACACACCAAAACAGCTCTTTTTTTAGACAAGCCCCAAAAATGAAATTTTCCAGATGTTATAATAAATGATCTGTGGGGTATTTTGAGCTGAAACTTCACAGACACATTCTAGGGACACCCAAGACCAATATTACATCTTGTGAAAAGGGGCATAGTAGGTGCCCTTTAACACAAATATCTAATGAGCCAATCACATGCCAGCAACTCAATGCATTTAGGCATGTAGACATGGTCAAGGTGATCTGCCAAAATTTAAACCGAGCATCAGAATGGGGACTTTGAATGTTGCATGGTTGTTGGTAGCAGGCGTGCTTCTCTGATCTACTGGGATTTTCACGCACAATCATCTCTAGGGTTTACAGAGAATGGTCTGAAAATGAGAAAATATCAAGTGATGGAAATTTTGTGGACAAAAATATATTGTTGATGCCAGTGGTCAAAGGAAAATGGCCAGACCAGTTTGAAATGATAGAAATGCAACAGTAACTCAAATAAACACTTGTTACAACTGGGGTATGCAGAAGAGCATCTCTGAATGCACAACACATTGAATCTTAAACCACTTATTCTCTGGGGCGTTTTTTGGTATTTTCGCCTAAATTTGACATACTCAAATTCAAATGTTTACCCTACACACATACAATGGAGGAAATGAGAAAAAATGGTTTCATTGTAAAGAAAACCCTTTGAACTACAAAATATGAGTGCACACACACACACACACAAACATACACACAGTATGTGTTTTACAGTCAATGGAACACACCACTCCTCTTCCTAACACGCATGGATTTATAGGCGCCAGGTTAATTCTTTAACAGTGCCATTTATGTCTAGAATTTTTTTTCCTACATTTTTTTTCCTACTTGTTAAAAAGTAAATGCAAAAAGGAATTGTGTCTTTAAGGGACCTTAACATTATTGAAAACAGGAATTGTATATGTAGGTTTTTGACATTATGTTGGTACTGTAGATACAAAAAAAGCCTCTTACTATCTCTGTAGTAAATATTTAACTGACTCTTTAAAAAATGATATATCAAGGGGTGAGAACCAGAAGGGCATAAGTGACATTTTTGGTGAAATGGAGATATATATATATATACAGTATATATCAAATGAAAGCTCTTAATGAGCTCTTTCTACTAGCAAAAGTACTTTCATCCATGAGTGTACACATTTTTATTATAAACAATTGAAATCAGTACACAAAGTCAGATCAAACTATGGTAACATTTTTGATTTGGCTCTCCTGTAAAGTTGGTGAAATGTCACTTATGCCTTTCTGGTTCTCACCCCTCGATATGTGATGTTAGTAGGAGAATGATTGAAGGATCTTCAGGGTCTGTCTTTGGTCTGATGGGGACTGTGTGTATGTGGAACTGTCCAGACGGTGGATGAGCAGAACCAGCAGATGTCATGAGAGTGTCCCAGAGAGGCTGAACAAAAATACTTAACAAAAGAGTGAAAATGGGGAGTTTTTACCTGAAAAAACTTTTTGAACCTGATGTATACTGTAGATTTAGATTTGACTCAAATCTTGACTGAACATGACTAAAACACATACACAAACTCATTGAATCAACATAAAACATAAATTGTTCTGGTGTGAAGTGACTAAATGAACAAGAAAAAAGCAGGAGGAGGTTGTTGGCAAAAAGTGACCTGAAACGGGGGTTAAT